TGAGAGTAAGCCTGGCTCACTGGAGGCAGCCAAGGAGCTTCATCTGCTGCGAGGGGCAGAGATCTTAGTGTTTCTTTCAGGACATGATCAAACAGCTTTCTTGGAGCACAGCAATTTCACAAGTGAAGGCAGGAGGCAGCAGAACAAGCACCACTGTCAGATAAAATTTACACCTTTTCACTGCAGTGTGGACAGGCCATTCACCCAGAAACCAGCCAGAACAGAGACAGAACAAGTCCTGAAGAAAAATCACGGCTCTATTCAGGGAGCGAGGGCTCAGCCCCCATCCCCAGCAGGGCGCATCTGGCTGTCAGATCCCCAAGCCCTGGACAGACAGTGTAGGCTCAGACCAAGGAGGGGAAAATGCTTTTAGAGCATTAGGGTTGAAAATAGGCCAATGCTGGAAATTTAAGCACGGAGGGTTCTTGGGCAGTGGGTTAAACCAAAGCCTTCAGGACAAGGCCAGGCACAGAGAGAGCAGGGCAGCAGGCAAGGAGGGCCCGTTCAAGAGACAGCTTTTGTGCACCCCTCACGTGCCAAAGGACCAGCCAGGCAGATGCAGCACAAACACCCTCCCAGCCAGCAGGCAGCCTTGGTTTCCTAGGGATCTCACCTGAAGCTCGGCAAGTCCACTGCAGCACGGACATTTTGGCACTCAGCAGGAGGAGGAAGACAACAACAACAACAACCCGTGTGTGGCCAAAAGAGAGGTGGGGGGCAAAAGGCACAGACAAGTGTGAAGGAATCAGTACTGTGTGGGTCAGCCAGACAGCTGACACCAGAGCAGGCAAAGCAGGGACTGGGGAACCCTCCTGCCACCCAGGGGTGCCAGGGGAAGGCTTCTGCCCCAGGCCTGGGTATCGGGTGCAGGTAGGGGAGCGAGCAGTACCAGGGATCAACACCTTCGCTCCGAACAGCAAAGAACAGGAGCGAGAGGGCAGAGAGAACAACAGGAGCACGTTCTGGAGAAGACCCAACAAATTAATTTAATGGCAGCGTCCCACTTCAGAGGACTGGGATCACCCGTCATGGCTTTGGGGTGGGACACTATTTATGTCTGTGAAACAGCAGCAGAAGGAACTGCACCAAGTTAGTTTAAACAGCAAATCCTCATTTCTTTGAAGCAAGATCAGCTTGAAGATGAAAGGAGGGTAAGAGCATCCAAAGTATTGGGGCATGTCTTCACTCTGGGCTCTCGGGAGCTCCTAGAGACAGCCTGGCCTTAGAGGGGAATCCCAGCAGATAGAGGTCACAGGGCAGAGTGCTCTTCCCAGGTCTAACCATCAGCTTCTGCCTGCACAAAAGCAGCTGAAGGACAGGTCAGGAACTCCAGCTAAATTCAGGCTTCCTGGGAGAGCAGAAGCCAACCCAAAGCCTCAGCCACCAGACAGCCCTGACCTGCTGACTTAAGCATAATTTAGCTCTCCTGGCAGGGACTGGGAAGCATCCTGTTGTACAAAGGACTTGTCTGGTCAAGCCCATCAGCTGAGCAGCAGTCTGGGCTGCAGGAGAAATGATGTTGTCTCCAAGGGACAGGGACAGCAGCTGAGGTGTTCTGAGGACTGGGGGACACAGCAAGCTGAGCTCCAGGCTGCTACCCTGACACAGCCTCATCACTTGGCACCACCATGGCTTTACTGGGATGCTGGCTTCCAGGGAGTGTCCTGTCACAACTCTGGCTCTGCCATGCCACCATGCTGGGCTCAGTCCATTTGCTCTGTAGGTATGAACAGCTCATATACAGGAATGATGGCTGCAGGTCCCTGGTCAAGGCTTCCTCTGCCCCCTGGGTCCTCCAAGACCAAGGCTGGCATGATCTGTCAGGAGTCAGCTTCTCCAATGCTGGTGACAGCCAGTCACTCATACCAGGATGCTTCACTCTGCATGTACCCTGGAAACACTGCCTGTCCCAAGGTATGCCACGTGCCATCTGCCTTCTCCCTCCCAAGGGGTACAGTGTCTGCTTGCTACTGCTCCACCAGAGCCTTCATTGTTCTCCCTAGAAACAGCCCTTCCCTCCCCCAGCCCAGCCCCACACCACTCCTGCTAGGAGCCACTTTCCTTCTCAAGGAGTTGAGCTTCTCGTTGTCCACTGGGCCTGAACACCCCTCGCCCTCTTGGCGCTCTGGGGTAGGAACCACGCTCCTGGGCTCTGGGTCTCTCCCACCTCCTGCAATCCCAGGGCCTGTGGTGGCCCTGCCAGCCGGGAGCTGCTCTGTGGTCGCTGTGGTTGAATGCCAGGTTCTCCTTCTCCCTGCCCTGGGCCTCAGCCCCCTCCCCCGGGGTCCATCTCTCCACATCACGGTGCTCTTCTTTCAAGTCCACTGCCTCTGTTACTGGTGAGGGGTCTTCAGGGCACAACTCCTTTCTTTCAGCCAAGGCAGCAGCTCTGCTTCTGCTGTGAGGCTTTGGAAACTCCTGGCTGTGCCTCCCCCCAGGTCTCCGGCTGAAGCCCCTGGGCCCTCTGGAGCCATGGAGCGGATGACAGGCCTCCTCTGCTGGTTCCTGCAAGCCACTGCACAACTGCCTGCCCGGGCCTCTGGGGCCTGGCCTCTCCCCTCTGTGCCTCTCCCTCTTGCTCTGTTGCTCTCTGGGCACAGCAGGCCTCTCAGGCCGCCTGGCTTCTGCCCTGGCCCCCGGCGCCCTGGCTGGCTCTGGAGCCAAGGCCTGGCTGGCTGGCTGGGGCACGTCCACAGCACTTGCACTCACCGGCAGCTCAGAGGCAGCGGCTGCTTGGCCTGGATCGACAGCAGCTGGAGGCTGAAAGAAAGAAGCCACCAGTGAAGAAAGGGACAGGGGAATCCCACAGCAGATGACAGCGCTCGGTCCTGCAGTCCAGAGCCCCCCTCGCCAGCTCTCTGCCCCAGTGCCATAC